AAAAAGGAGCATGGCCCACAGTTTATATGACTCCCCGCCTCCCATATCTATCGAGACTGTTTGGATTGACAAGAGGATAAAGAAGGTCAAGTGTTTAACAAGAGGGAAAACCAGGAAAAAGTTTTCCAACAAGTCAATTGGTTTCATTCTTCCTTTACGTATCTCCGTTTCTTGCGCAAAGGCAATCCGCACTCCACCCTGACCCGTGACCCCTGATCGGATTCTTGAGAGAACCAGTGTTTCGTTTCCCGGAGAAGAGCCCAAGAGTTCAACTCTGCAAAACGTGCCCCGTCCCTCTGTCCAGAGAACCGTGATTCAATATGCCAGTGCAGCCAGCAAATAATGCGAGTGCTCCTCGGACAACTTGGCAGCAACAACTTGAGGGTATGCCCCACTTTGCAGCCATTCCTTCCAAAGGATATCATTTCCTTTCATATGCTAATGGCCCCCGACAAGAGCACTGCGAGGCCCATAAACGCTCCAAGCCCCTATTTCGCCTCTTCACCGAACGACGAGGTATGATCTCTTGCCTTCCGTTGTCTTTCTCTTATACCCCTCTCTGCCGTTGTATTCTGCTAGTATGAGAAGGCCCTCTTTGTTGTCGAATACTGTCTCGGCACGCACAGAGTGGAGTCGACTTCACCGACTTTTGCAATCGAAACTCAGTGGTACCATACACTAACGGGGTTGCCATTTTTTCCCTCAGGTGGTCGCACGGCTTGGACCTGCATCGCTACAATCGACGGGGTGCAGTATCCGGCTCGATTCTGGTACGACGGCAAATACTCCGATAATGCCATAGAGGATGCCGCGGAAAAAGCCCTGAATATACTCAGTCCTCAGACATCCCGTAACACCCGTTACCCGGGTCAAATTTACCCTTGACGCGGGTCGCTGGGCGACACCCCTGGTTTTCTGGGTGGCTGTAACTTCTTTTCTGACGATGCTTCGACCTTGCTGTTCATTCCGGTTTTTCTTTCCCCCTCTCCCTTCCTTCTTCCTCTCAGTTTCGAAAACGCTCTTCGAATTACCGTCGATTACTCGGGTTTCGCAGACGTGTACAACATTCCCGGCTGTCGATCTATGCGTTTCTGATTTAACACAGCAGACCTTTTGGCAACACCGAGGTGGGGGGTACGATTAGGGGCATACAGAGTATTTGGATGCAGATGCCGCGTTTACCCTGGTGGTGTTACGACTCTGGGCACGAGAATGCTTGCAATTACTTTGCCCTGCTTTACTCAACTGTCCTGTTGTAGCTTTCTTGAATTTTTTTCCGGGTGCAAGCTTTCTCACACGATGGCCCAGTTGACTGGTATGTTTGGGTGTGCTGGTATTATTTTTCTTTCTTTCTTTCTTCTTCTTCTTCTCCTTCTTCTTTTCTTTTCGATTAGCTTTTCTTATCTCCCTTGTTTCCCTTGTCTATTATACAAACGGTCCAGGTTGCGTACGGGTATTGTGGCACGATTATATTTCACGACAGACAGACAAACAAACAGACAGACAGACAGACAGACAGACAGACGGATCAGATCAGATTCTACCTTATGACGAACAACAAACAAATTTGAATTTTTTCTTATTCTTCAATCGTCGTACTCTACAAATACACGCTTTCTCTCGTGTTTTTTGCATCCGGACTTCCATGCCTATCCCTCGTGGATAACAACCATAGCAGCAGACAGGCGAGCCTGATTCCTACCACAACACAAGTACGGAGTAGTGGTTACCTTGGGAGATACTTAAGGTGGGCTAGATGGTAATTCGGTTTGTGGATCGATACCGTCTTCTACCC